TTACAATGTTGTGTGCTACTGTCAGCAATCCCAGCCCAAGCTGTACCACGTATTACAATGTTGTGTGCTACTGTCAGCAATCCCAGCCCAAGCTGTACCACGTATTACAATGTTGTGTGCTATAGGCAATACTTAGTTATATAAATTTTGTTTTATAATGAATTAAAAGAAAATTACAGATAAATTATCTTATATAATTAGTTATTTTTGATAATTAACTGAATAAAATATCCACCAATGAGACAGCAGTAAGTCTAATGACTTACAATGCTAAAATCCGGGGTTTGATTCCCCATGGTGGACACATATAGACGAATGTGGCTTTCCTCTAAAATAAACAAACAAATCAAATTGAATGAAAATAAGTACGGATACGAAATAAAATCACACCAAAATTGTGTACATTTGCTTTATATCTGCATTGCCAGACTTTGTGTAAATAATCAAACTTTTCATTTTGACATCTTTCAAATCTTTCCTACACACATATGTTAAGTCCAATATATCCAGGTTACTACTATGTCATGTTATGTCATGACATAGTATGTCATGTAGTCTATGACTACTGACAATGGAGACTGTTTTATTAATGCACTACAATTTGTTAGATCAAAATAACTTATTTAACGGAAATGGCCTATCTTTAAATAGTAATCTGTTAAAGGCTTTTACACTGTAGTTAAATGACTCTCCTTGGCCTAGTTTCAGGAACCTAGTTACTGCTTATGTAATCCTTTATGGCTACACTTATAATCCATGACAAGTGATGATTATCAAAAAGATTGATGTAAACAAAATCATGTTTATTCATAAAATATGCGTTTTGATGTGCTAAATACGCCAATATTAAGCTGAGAGCTTTTGGCACTAATGATAATATTTTTCCACCATTCATGTCCTTGAAACATCACTGAGTTTTCATGGTTTCCCTGACCCATAACAGACATACAAAAAAAGGAATAAAGTGTTACACTGATTAAGCAACTCATTGTAAGCAAGATCACTTACTGTATTTATACAACTGACAACACATCACTTGTTAAACCCAAATGCTTGATTTTATTTTATAAAAAAATTACATTTCAAGTCAACATGCCTCAAAGAGACTTAACTGAATAAATTTAGGTGTTTTTTTTTAATTTATTTTAAAAAGATTTGTCTGCTAATATTACTTCAGATCATATAAATTTTAATTAAGGGTGGTACACCATCTTATGAAGATAGTTTATTTTCTGACATACCTTTCCATTTTCTCAAACATCCACGTTGGTTCTTTATTAATAGGCACTGCAAGTTGGTGAATGAGAGCAAGTTTTCTGGCTATTTTAGCTGATAGATCAGGGTCTTGAAGCTCTTGACAAGTCATGGCTTTAGCCTGTTAAAATATTCCACTATTACTGTTATTTACAAAACAGAATAACAGCTTTATAAATAATGAAATAAATAACTAAGGTAATTTGAAAATCACATGAGTAAAGAACAAGAGCAATATTTCATTTATCAACAAATTACAACAGATAATTGGATCTCTGAAAAATAAGATAGTCTAACTGAGAATGCCGTTTCTACTTTAATTAAAAACTACCATGAAAGAACTTCAATTGAATCAGCTGATTAGATCCAATGTTAAACAATAAAGATGAATATAGAAAAAAGGGGAGAGCATCCTTGAGGAAATCAAGTAACATCGGAAATGTTAAAAAGAAAAAACTGAAAACAGCTGAAAGTATTCAAGACAAGTAAGATTCTTCTTCTTCCGTAGCTTTTTCCCGTATCTATACGGGGTCGCTATTTTTAAAAACCCTGCCAAAACCGACGGCCGGATGCCCTTCCTGACGCCAACCATCCCCTAATTTAGCAGTGTAAGACTAGAGGGAAGGCTGCTAGTCATCACCACCCACCGCCAACTCTTGGGCTACTCTTTTACCAACGAATAGTGGGATTGACCGTCACATTATAACGACCCCACGGCTAAAAGGGCGAGCATGTTTGGTGGGATGGGGGCGCGTGTGAATAGAGCAATTCAAGACAAGTAAGCTTAAAACATTTAAAAAATACAAAGTAAAGGAAAATAAATATATGGGAACACTGAAAACATATATATAACATCAAGACACTATTTTCACAAAGATAATCAGCTGCCTTTCTACATTATATGATTAAGATCCTTGTTACAATACAGTGTAATCACTACACATATCAAATATTGGAATTACCAAGGAAAAGACTCAGTAACAAGAAATACTAGATATAATAAAAAAAAAGAATTCTGTCATTATAAACTCCATAATTTAACATAAAGATCACATGCAGCACTTGAGAATAGAAGAAAGTACAAAAATACTCAAAAGTACAACTACAGTTAAACATGAATAAACAAATTATGGAACAGTAAACTTACAGGAATGTATTCTTCAAGCCTTCCTTCAGGGAAAATCCCATAAAGCTTTGGTCCAAGATTTCTTTCAGAGAGAAGCATGAATATTGCACTCTCTGTGATATTAGCTTCAGCCTGTCCATCATGCACCTGGCCATACATGCGCAGCAGGACTTGATCAGGTTCGCCAACCAGGGGAGTATGGGTCTTCGGAAGTGAGCAGTGATATAATAAGTTACTAAGGCCTCCACTAGTTATAGGATTGGAAAAACAATAAATGTTATATATCAATTAATGTCAGTTATTTTCTTTCATATATGTAATAATTAGAAATGGTTTAATTCAAAAGATATGGCAGCTATTGTTGTTTTTTCTGTTTTCAACTAAGACTTAAACAAACAAAACAAAAAACACAGAAGGTATGTTTTGGGACATACACTTGTTTTTCCTTTCTTATTACCCTGACATAAAAGAACAAACAGCTTAACATACTTGTTTCTTGTTAACTTACATAATGAGTTATCTGTACTGTTCCCACCTGGTTTTAAAAATTAAAAGTCCTCAAATTTATTGCTAAGCCAATGGGTACTTGATACATATTAGGCTTAAAATTCTAGGAAATTATAGTTATCTGATGTCTTCAGTCTGAGCTCTTTTCAAATGCAGTCATTTCTTT